CCGGTATTTGGGTTCTGTGTATATATAGATAGCCGAGTCGGTGTACAGTAACAGTTAGCTGACAGGTTAACTTGTGTATGTCTCAGATGCATTGCGTTGGTACGGTAAAATACACGGTCGCGATGTCCTGTCGAACCGCCAATTCTTGACCGTCGATCCCGCGTGGCAAACTTTTATTGTGTGGAATTTAAACGGGCGGAGCGTATTTAAACGGGGTCGCACGAGTTCAAACAGGGGGGAGTTTTCGCCAAACGGGCTCGCGCGCGCCCCTGTTTTGCGCCAACGTAGGAGAACCCTGTAGTGTATTTAGTAGTAAGGTAGTAGTAGTAGTAGTGTAGTAGTAGGCAGTAGTGTTAATAGTGGTCGTGGTAGCTAGTAGTAGCAGTTGTTAGTAGTAGTAGTAATAGTAGTAGTAGTAGTTGGTAGTGGTAGTTGGTAGTAGTGGTAGTGGTAGTAGTAGTAGTGGTCAGTGGTAGTTGCTGTATGGTAGTTAATGTTAATAGTGGTCTGTGGTCAGTTAGTAGTAGCGAGTGTAGCTACGTAGTAGTGGTTAGTAGTAGTAGTAGCTGGCAGTAATGTTAATGATGTTGTCGTCCCCGGGGTAGTAGTAGTAGTAGTCAGTAGTAGTAGTAGTACATAGTAGTAGTGTAGTGGTAAGTGGTATGGTAGTGGTAGTGTAGTGGTAAGTGGTAGTGGTAGTAGTGTAGTAGTGGTAGTGGTAGTGCAGTGCAGGTGGCATAGTGTTAATAGAGGAGCGTGGTGGTCGGTAGTTGGTGATGGTTAGTCGGTGTAGTAGTAGTAGTATAGTTTAATAGTGGTAGCAGTGTTAATAGGGGTAGCTGGTAGTGGTAGTAGTGTTTAGCTAGTAAGTGTTTATAGTTGAGCGTTAGTAGTGAGCAGCATCCCATAAGAGTGGCTAGGGGCTTGACATGTTAATTGGTGCAACATTTAAATCTGACATAATGGTGCAACATAATGGTGGCCGCCATCTCTCTCTTCTCTCTCTCTCTCCTCTCTCTCTCTCTCTCTCTTCTCTCTCTCTCTCTCTCTCTTCTCTCTCTCTCTCTCTTCTCTCTCTCTCTCTCTCTCTCTCTCTCTTCTCTCTTCTCTTCTCTGCTTCTCTCTTCTCTCTCTCTCTCTTCTCTCTCTCTCTCTCTCTTCTTCTCTCTCTCTCTCCTCTCTCGTCTCTCTCTCTCTCTCTCTCTCTCTCACTCTCTCTTTCATCTATTCTCTTTGCCTCTCACTCTCTCTCTCTCTCTTTCTCTCTTTCTCTCTCTTTTACTCTCTCTCTCTCTTTCTATTCTCTCTTGCTCTCACTCTCTCTCCTCTCTCTCTCTTTCTCTCACTCTCTCTTTTCTCTCTCTCTCTCACTCTCTCTCTCTCGCACACTCTCTCTTTCTCTCTCGACTCTCAATCATCTCGCCACGTTCGCTTTGTGTCGGCAGGTTTTTGAGTCGGCGAGCGCCATGTTTGCTCCGTCGGGCTGCACTTCGGCATGCCGAATCCGGGCTTGTCTTCGCGTCTGTCGGCGCATGTCGAACGCTGTCACCTGCTCACAGCGCCCCCTGCTCCGTCACACAGGCACGATATCGACATGAGCAAATACGCATCTCCTGCACACAGCCGCTAACGAACAGGTACGTGCAATCAACAGGTATTTTTTTTCGGTGCAATCAACAGGTACGTGCATCAACAGCGTCGGTGTAATTAACAGGTACGTGCAATTAACAGGTACGTGCAATCAACAGTTACGTGCAATCAACACAGTGTGCCAGTAAGTAACAGGTACGTGGCTAAGAAACACATATGTACAGTGATCAATGGGTACGTCGTAATGAACGGGTGTTGAATAAATGCTGTCAAACCTGTATACGAGATTGCCCTCAAGAAAATCGCAAGAGTTCTCCTTTATACAACGTGTCTGTTTTATATAGAGCGGTTTTACGCTACTTACTGCCACGCTAGAGTAATACCACGGTGTGCGTTACAGACACTGTGGTCCACGTAAACACAGGTTATACAGCATTACTGTGTGCTGTGCTTAGTCCAAAAAAAAATATTTCACCACCCCTTTCGCCGAAATTTGTGTCTAGAACGACAAAATCATTGGCTGGACTGTCGTTGCTACAGTGCTTAACTATTATAAACAACAGTTGATAACTCTTATAAACAACTAGTATTAACTATTTATAAACAACAGTTATTAACTATTATAACAACAGTTGTTAACTATTATCAAACAACAGTTATTAATATTCATAAACAACAGTTATTAACATATTATAAACAAGAGGTTTATTAACTATTGATAACACAACAGTTATTAACGTATTATAAACACGTTATTAACTTATTATAAACGAACATTATTAACTATTAAAACAACAGTTATTAACTTATTATAAACAACGTTTAACGTATTATAAACGACATTATAACTATTATAAACGAACAGTTATTAACTATTATAAACGACAGTATTAACTATTATAACGACAGTTATTAACTATTATAACGACATGTTATTAAAACTATTATAACGACAGTTTATTAACTAATTATGAAACGACAGTTATAAACTATTATAACAACAGTTTATTTAACTATTATTAAACGACAGTTATTAACTATTATTTAAAACGCAGTTATTAACTAATTATAAACGAACATGTTATTAAACTTATTGATAAACAACAGTTATTAACTATTATAAATCAACAGTTCTATTAAACATTATAAACGATCAGTTATTAACTATTATAACGACATTATTAAACTATTATAAACGACAGTTACTTAAATATTATAACACGACAGTTATTAGACTATTAATAAAACGACAGTTTGATTAAACTTTATAAAACGACAGTTATAATATTATAAACGACATTATTAAACTATTATAAACGACAGTTAAAACTATTTATAAACGACAGTTATTAACTATTATTAAACGGGACAGTTATAACTATTATTAAAACAAAACAGTTATTAACATTATAAACAACAGTTCATTACTATTATAAACAACATTTTAACTATTATAAAACAACGTTATTAATACTATTAACAACAACAGTTCATAATATTATAAACAACCGTTATTAACTATTATAAACAACAGTTATTAACTATTATAACAACAGTTATTAACTATTATAAACAACAGTTATTAACATATTATATAACAATCAGTTATTAACTATTATAAACAACAGTTATTAACTTTACAGTCGATGAACCATGTCAACCCTGAGATCCGCGTCTCGCCCACTGCGGCGGCGCCCTCGCGGGCCGCGACCGCTGGCGGCAGGGAAGACAGTGACGATTAGTGAGAGCAGCAGTCTGTCGTCACTGAGGAGCAAGAAGTGAGTGAGTGAGCGCGTGTGCTGGTCCTTCCTCCTCACACCACCCATCTCATCACTCACTCATTCACCATCTCCTCGCCCTCACTCATTGCACCATTTCCTCACTTCACTCATTTACCATCTCTCCTCGCTCTCTCTTATCTTTCTCTCTCTCTTTCTTTCTCTCTCTCGCTCTCGCTCTCTCTCTCTTTCTCCCCTTTCTTTCCATGTCTCTCTCTCTGTTTTCCTCCCTCCCTCCCTCTGTCTATCTATTTATCTGTCTCTATCTCTTTTTCCTTTCCCTCCCATCACTTCAATCGATCCACAGATTGAATTGTTTCAGCCTCACCTCTCCCTTCTCCTGCTTCTCCTCCTTCTACTCCTCATCCTCCGCTTCTTCCCCTTCTCCTTCCCTTCCCCCTTGCAGCTTCATTCTACATCGCTGAATCGTCCGCAGGTCGAATCGCTTCAGCCTCACCAACCTGGACAGCCCATCGAAGGGCTTCACTTCTCCTCATCTTCCTGCTCCTCTCTTTCTTCTTCCCTTCCCCTTGCAGCTTCTTTCTACATCGCTGAATATCGACCGCCCAGGTCGAATCGCTTTCAGCCTCACCAACCTGAGACAGCTATCAAGGACTTCACTTTCTCCTCATCTTACCTGCTCACTCTCTTTCTCCTTCCCTTCCCCTTGCAGCTTCCTTCTACATCGCTGATATCGATCCGCAGGTCGAATCGCTTCAGCCTCACCAACCTGGACAGCCTATCGAAGGGCTTCACGAGCCTCAAGGATCGCATGAACCCACTCGTCGTCGAACCTGTCCGACAGCTCGCTGGGCGACGATGAGACCATGTCCACGGTATTACTGCTGCCGTCGTGGTGTAGCGCGTCGTGCCTCTGTTCCTCCGTAGCGAAGCTGGTCAGTCGTGTAGCCGCGGTTCTGCCGTAAGCGCGCTGCCGCCGCCGCCGGCTCCTCGGCTGGCGCCTGCCGAACGAGAGGGGTGGGGCGCGACCCGCCTCCCGCTCCCCAAGGCGGGTGGAGCGGCACGGCCCCCCCGCCAGCGGTGGGTTACGGTCGTGTTTCTGCGTGTGCTGCTCGCCCGAAGTATCGTTTGACGACCACCTGCTGTGGTTTTTGTAGTCGCCTCCCCCCCTACCTCCCCAGGGGGGCGTGCGTTTCTTTGACGTCGTAGTTTGATTGTTTGTGGCGCGTTGTCTTTTGTGCCGTCGTCACGTCTCGCACGGGGTTTCGTCGTGTTTTTTCTCCCTTCTCTCTCCTCTCTCTCCTTCTCTCTCTCTCTCTCTCTCTCGCTCTATCTTCTTCTCTCTCGCTTATTTTTTCCCCTTTTTTTCTTGTTTTTTTTTTTATTTTTTTTTTTTTTTTTTTTTTTTTTTTTTTTTTTTTTTGTTTTTTTCCTTTTTTTTTTTTTTTTTTTTTTTTCTTTTTTTTTTTTTTTTTTTTTTTTTTTTTTTTCTTTTTTTTTTTTTTTTTCTTTTTTTTTTTTTTCCTTTTTTTTTTTTTTTTTTTTTTTTTCTTTTCCTTTTTTCTTCTCTCCTCATCTCTCTCACTCTCTCTCTCTCTCGTCTCTGGCTCTCTCTCTCTCTCTCTCTCTCTCTCACTCTCTGCTCTCTCTCTCTTCTGCTCTTCTCGTCTCTCTCTTCTCTCTCTCTCTTTCTCTCTTTCTTCTCTCTCTCTCTCTCTCTCTCTCTTTTTCTCTCTCTCTCTCTCTCTTCTCTCTCCTCTCTATCTCTCTCTCTCGCTTCCTCTCTCTCTCTCTGCTGCTTGTTCGTTGCTGGGCTGCTCCTCCCTCTCTCTCGGCACGCGCGATGGCTGCGTTTACGATGGCGCTTACTGGGCGAACCACTGTAGTGTGTGTGAGAAATTATTCCGCTAACGCATTGCCTCTGCATTTGCATGCGAACCGCTTGGGCGCCGCCGATGGTTGCGCCGCCGAATGCTCACTTGTTGTCTCTCGTCACGTGCAGAAGAGCGATACTCGGACGACGACAGCGACCAGTTTGTGATGGGTCGCCATGGAGGTCTGTCGTCGACGGACGGTATCTTCGCGAATCCGTCTGGCAACAGGAGCGCGCCCTCTATAGCGGACAGCTTCGGTTCCGGACACGCGCGCGGCGGAGACGAGCAGCGCTATACCTGAGCGCACAGAAACGGCACGGTGAGCGCCAACGCCATCTAAGTGGTTACATCGTGCAACAGTGATGTTCGATATCGGATCTATATTAACGTTCGACATTCGATTCTCGTCATATTCGCACGTTTATCACGCGATAACCGGTCGGTCTGACGTTTCCCTTGTGTGCCGGTAGATGCGGTGTGTCGTGGCGCTGTCCGGCGTGGAGGCGTGCGTGGGGAGCCGGGGATCGGCGAACTCGACGGTGAAGCTGCAGATGCCGACACGGTTGCAGCCGCTACGAGGTGCGGCAACATCAGCTACGACGAGTTCCACCAAGTTCACCTACAGTGAGTAACGTCCGAAGGTCGTTGTGTACAGGTGACTACAGATAATGCTACCCGAGGTAGTTTAGGTTTGTAATATGTATGTTAATTTTTATATGAGGTTGGTTTAGCGGTTAGGTTGCAGGCGTTAGGGCGTTATGTTTGGTTAGGTTACACTCTGCTAGTACAAGTCTGGTACACTTTGTGTATACATTTATTTGTTACCTTCGGGTACATATCTGTTAGATACCTCGTTACGAAACGACCTCTTGGCGTAGTACACGCCTGCACTGGCGTGCACGCGAGACCCTCTGTCCAGTGGCGAGTCTAGCTAGGATTTTTTTTAGGCAGGGGGGCGGGGCACTTGGGGCGGGCTTTACATTTTCGTGGGGGGGGGGGGCAACAATTAGTAAACTTTTCTTTGTAATTGATGGTGTTCTAACGGCATTTTTTTAAGGTTCGAAATTTCCTTTTTTAATCAAGCATGAATTTTTAGGGGGGGGGCACCTGGGGGGCGCACCGAAACATTGGATGGGGGCTCGTGGACCCCCACGCACCCCGTAGCTACGCCGCCTGCCTCTGTCCCTTGCATCCCTGCTCTTCACGCGCCCCTGGCACGCACTTCTAGTTGATAGTTTCATCGTAAATTTTTGGTGAATCTTTACTAAATCCATGGTAAATATTTTGGTAAGTCTTTGGTAAATCCTTGATGAAGCTAGATCCGTAGTGAACCCTTGGTTTTGGTAGGTCCCTAATACACCCTTAGTTAACTCTAGGTGAATATTTGGTTAATACTTGGCAAATCCTCGGTGCACATGATCACACGTCGAAAGGAAATAATTGCTCCCATGAGCCAGTAAATCAGCAAAGAGATACAGCTCAATCACATCAGTGAGATGAGCTAATCGAATTAGTCAAATTAATTGGACGAAATAAGCTAATTAAACGAGAAATAAGTAACTCATCAAGACGGAATCGCTCCCCGCCACGGCTACCGTGGCGCAATCAACCCCCCACCCCACCGCGATGCGACCACCCCTTCCCCCTGCCAACACCCCTCCCACTGATCCCCCTCCCCATTCCGCAGAGACGGAAAACGGCGAGGACGACGACGGTGGCGCCCCCGGGCGGTGCGAGGACGACGCGGAGCCGGCCCTGAGGCTGCGGCTCGTCTCGGGTCCCGCGTGCGAGCGCCTGTGCCCCGGCGCGGCGTCCGCGGCAGGGGGCGCCGCTAACTACCTGCAGGTTCGCGGGCGCGGCCTCGACCTCGCGCTGCTCATGACGAGTCTGACGAACATCGTCGACCTGATCGAGGACGAGGTGGTGGTGCCACCTATGCCGATGGAGCTGACGCTCGAAGACTGCAAGATGAGCCTCAAGGTGAGAGCGGCGGCGCGGTGACAGACGGGTGACAGGTGGTGTGACAGATGGGTGACAGACGTGTGACAGATGGGTGACAGGTGATGTGACAGATCAGGGGCGTGTACAGGGGGGGAGGGTCCAGGGGGTCCGGACCCCCCCTTGCTCGCGTAGAAAACGCATCTAAGGGGGTCTAATTTAAAAAAAATTCTTAAACCCACACCCCCCCTTCGCGTGCGCACAAGTTTGGGTTACGGTTAGAACCCCCCCTGGTACAAATCCTGTACACGCCTCTGCAGATGGGTGACAGGTGATGTGACAGACATGTGACAGGTGATGTGACAGACGGGTGACAGACTTGTGACAGGTTATGTGACAGACTTGTGACAGACGGGTGACAGGTGATGTGACAGATGAGTGACAGACGTGTCAGAGGTGTTGTGATCAGTGTGGTACACATATGTAGACATTGTGACACTCATAGAGCCGCGCATGAAGAAAGCATTGCGTGACAGTTGGGTGCCA